TTATTAATTATAGTATTTATAATTAATTTTATACAAATTTTTATATCAAATTCATATTTTTGAATACCTTGTTATGAGAGATTTGAAAACCCTATTACGAGGAATTTAAAAATCCTATCATGAGCGATTTGAAAATCTTATTACGAGGGATTTGAAGATCCTACTAAAAGGGAATAAATTGAAAACTCTATTAAGAGGGATTTTGAAGAGCTCTATTATAAAAGGGAACTTGAAGAAGGAAGGTTAAAGAACGAATAACGAGTGAAAAACGCAATATAAAAATCGCTAATCACTTATTTTTCTATTAAAAGAATTTTTTTATCTTATCTAATAAAGAAATCAAAGATTTTGCTTGTTTAAGAATAAATCAATAAAAACTCTCATACAAAAAGTCAAATTTAAATATCCTATTTAAAGAAAAGAATCAAAGGATTAAATTTTTAGAGATTACAACCCACAAACTTTTATTAAATTTGTAATTTGGTATATAAATTTTCAATAAAAGAATTTTTATCGTATACAGTTATAATTATTTAAAAAAATTATTATTAACTAATAAAATAATAAGTAAACTGAGTGGCCCTAACAAAGTCTCGTCTAGTAACCATAGCCGACACAATGCAATTGCAAAGAAGTGACCATTGGAATTCTCTTTCACACTGAATAACTTCAAAATATAAGTCTAGAGTAAAAACAAAACTATCGTTTTTGACGGCTACCGTGGTGCCCTGTTAATTCAAAACCAATATGATCTTAGATGAGAGTGATCTCAAGGACGTGATTTAGTACTTGAATGAATGTCAGACAATTTAAATTAGCAAAAATAAATGCATTAAGGCAACCATATTAATCAGTTTTGCAAAAGAAAGAGCACCAGCTATGGGAATGATCAAGCAAGCCAAGGAAAGTCAATTGGGTCAATGAAACACGGTGTCCTTATTTCTTTTCCTTGATGAAAATACAAGGAGATTGCCCTCAATCAGAATTGCATCTGGCTAAGCACAAAAGAAGGGAAAAATTAAAAGAAGAAGAAAAAAAAAAAAACTCAAGAATGAACTGTAAAATGAGAACCATTGATATTGGAAACTAATTTTTATTCAATAGTTAGTGTCATATAATTTGGTGTAATCTGGAATGCATAACACTTTTTTTGTTATAAATAAAACTCATATTATTAAGGCATAAAATCAAACTTTTTATATCCACTTTATCTCAAAATATCTTTGATACCCAATTTGAAATCCTACAAAGTATTACAACTAAAGTGATGAAGCTATAAATAATGTAGATATGACTTATAATCATGGTGTAAATGTACATCGTGGACTAATAATAACTTTAAGCGATATTTTTATGGTTATGAGTGTATTACAAGAAAGAGAAGATGAGCATCTCTTATTTATACTTTTTTTAATCATAATATTATTGCTTTTTCTTTTTATGTGAATTATGTATATGCAACTTGCTAAATGTTATTTTTTTATTTTTAAAAATCTCAAATTAAGCATTAAAGATGTAATTTTTCACTTTGAATATATAATTTTTTATATTTTAGTTTACTCTTTTAACCTTTATTTTTTTTTAATATTTTGGATGAGTTAAAATTGATTTTATTAGATGTTATATGATTTTTATTTTTCATGCAAAAAATAAAATAAAATAAAATGCATGAAATTAGAAATTTGGGACTTAAGTGAAATTCTTTGAAAAGTTTAAGACTAAATTGCAATAAGAAAAGTTAAAATCTGAGGCCAAATTAAATAAATGCGAAGTTTAAGGATCAAAGTGCTAAAAACTAAAAGCTGAGGGACCAACAATGTTAGTTACCATTAAAATTCGAATGATGTATTTGCGGTGTTATAACGCTAGTAATAGAGGGACCGATGCTTGGCCCTTCCTCCAAAATTCAATCATATTTATGATTTATTTTAAAGCAAAAGAAAGAAAATGACCTTTCCGTATTAGTTTGAGACGTAGGGCTTATAACGTTTATAAAAAAAATGAGAATGGCCATTTTTTTCTTTAGTAAAGTTGAAAAATTTTTAGTGGCATTAATTTGAGGTTTAATTTATTAATAAATAAGTATATTTTATAAATTAAATTAAAAATTTAACTATTAAGAATAATATTTTAAAAAATAATTTTTTTCAATGACGTAAAAAAGTGTTTTATAAAGTTAATTGTGAAGAGGATAATATATGTAAAAATTGGTCTAAAATTACCACACCACAGTACAGGGAAAAAAAAAACCACTTGTAAAGTAAAATTAAATTAACGCCCAGGGGGATCACAATAGTACAAGAAATAAGTAATATTTTTTTATTGCATGTAAGTAGTGGTATTTTTACGATATAGCAACGGAAATTCAAACTGAAATTACGGTATTAGACAGCGTTTTTAATGGAGGAACTGTACCCAGTTTGGTCATCATAGTATTTTGACCACAGCATCACGCCTCCATACTTTGAAGCTCCTTTAATGGCGGGAAGCACCTGAGACGTGAGATCGTTTACCGGGATGAACCCACTTCCGGCAGCCTCAGGGGATGCCGGAAGTCCCAAGAAAATTTGAGTTGCCTGAATATCTTGAGTCCATTGATTCCAGGCATTCACTAAATTTGCAGTGTTTCCGGATGTGTATTGGCATGGGGGGTTGTTGTAAAATTGGACCCAGACGTAGTCAAAAAGACCGGTTTTCAGGGCATCCCCTAGCCAGGCGTCAGGGAAAGGGCACTGAGGAGCTGCCGTCAAGTAAACTTTCTGCCCCTGATTACTGTATTGGGAAAGGTACTTTGCGAGATCATCCCAGTGCAGGTTCGTCCCTCCCTCGATGTCGAAGTCAATACCGTCGAGAACAGCATCTCCGAGCGGGCGATTACTTGATTGTCCTCCGAGGAAGTTATTCCAGAGATAATCAGCAACCTGCTTGGCGTC